AAGGGAGGGAAAAATGAAACAAGACAAAACCAGAGAGGGAGACAAACCATAAGAGACTCTTCATCTCAGGAAACAAACTGAGGGTTGCTGGATGGGGGATGGGAGGGATGGGGTGACTGGGTGATGGACACTGGGGAGGGTAGGTACTATGGTGAGCTCTGTGAATTGTGTAAGACTGATGAAACACTGACCTGTACCCCTGAAACAAATAATATATGTTAATTAAAAAAATAAAAGTTTTACTTCAATGTGTCAAAAAAAAAATAAATTCTATCAATCCTACTTCTGAAATCCATCCCGAATCTCTTCTTTCTTCTTAGTCCTCACTACCAGTGTTCCAGTCCTAGATTATTGAAATATAATAGTGTTGAATAAATATATTGGTTATATAAGATTGTATATCTCACAAGTAGAAAATATACCTTATTTTCAAGACCACATGAAATTTTAACAGATATCAATTTTATCTTAGATCACAAAGAATGATTCAATAAATTCCAAAAAGCTATAGAATAGATCACATTCTCTGGTCCCATGAAATTACAGTTAACACGGAGCTTACACTGGGGTCAGGCACTGCTTAAGAACTTCACATCTACTAATATAATTCTCCTAACACCATGATGTAAGTACTATTGTTATCTCATTTTGTAGATAAGGAAACTGATGTAGAGAGAGACTCTAGAACTTGCCAAAGATCAGACGGTACATTATGGGGCTGAGATAGAGTATTATAGATGAAACAACAACATGGTAGTGGATATAAATGAAGGAAGTTAATGTAAAAGCACACACATGAAAAGAGTGTAAGCCTTCATAAAATTCATATTTACTTTAACCTTACCATTTAAACATATAATTATCACGAATTTCATTTATCCTTCATATTAATTATCCTTGTATAGAAAAGAGAGTTTTAAACACTTTCAGTTTCTTTTCCTGGAATCTGAAGAAGATGGAGTTGGACATTTCACCACTTCTTTTTTTTTTAAGATTTTATTATTTATTTGTCAGAGAGTGAGACAGAGAGTGAGTGAGCACAAGCAGGGGAATCAGCAGGCAGAGGGAGAAGCAGTCTCCCCGTTGAACAAGGAGCCCAATGTGGGACTTGATCCCAGGACCCTGAAATCATGAAGGACCCCCGGGGTCATGACCTGAGCCAAAGGCAGCTGCTTAACTGACTGAGCCACCCAGGTGTCCCTACCACTTCTTTTTTTTCTTAAGTTTAGTTTTCCTCCATTTGCAGCAGATGGTCCAGTCAGAGCAGTATCTGATTGCACGTTCATCAGCATTGCACTTCATTCTGCAGTTATAGGTTTCTAAAGAGCATGTGTCTTTAAAAAATGAGGTCCTGGCTTTGAAAAGAGAAAAAAAATTATATTAGGTTATATTTTTTATTTTTATCTTTTAATGTCTAAAGTGTTCTATGATAAATTAAAACATCAGTAGAGAACTTTCTCAGAAAAAAGTAACAGAAAAAAATACAGAAGACAAAAGCAGAGATACTGAATAAAGATTAATGAAGATCTTTTCCATAGGGTAGGTAAATGGGGCAGTGAGCTGAAGAGGAGAGTTTTCGATGAGAACTGTTATGGCATATTTCTGTGTAAAATGAATAATCTGTTTAGGGGTGGGGATTCATGATGCAAGAAACAATGTTTGACTTCACGAGTGAAGTCTTTAAAAAGTGAGTGGGGATAAAAATCTAGTTGAAAGTGGAGGGGTTAACCTTAAATCAGAATGGAGAGAAGGCAGAGTAAGATAAAATTAGGTGAAGGCATATGGTGGTGGGAAAATGAGGAAGTTATCTCTTGGTACTTTTACTTTCTTGGTGAAATAAAAAGAAATCATCAACTGAGAATAAGGGAACAGAGGAAGCTGAGTCTTGGTTCTAACTGTCCAGTACATTTGGGCTCAAAGCCATGTCTCCTTCACTGAGGAAATTTCTAAGATTGCACAAACTCCCATAAGTCATAATTTCTCACTTTGGTTTCTCTCTCTCTCTCTCGCTCTCTCGGTGTCACATAGGAAAACTTGGGAAACTCTTTGGCATTATTTCCCAAAGTTGAAGATACACATGTTCTATGAAAAAAGTTTAATTCCTAGGTATATATCTGATAAGTATGTGTTCACATATACAACAAGAATCATTGAGCAAAAATTCATAGCAGTAATAGTATTTATAGCAGCCAAATCCTAGAAACAATCTAAATGTTCATCAACAGTAAAATGAATAAGTATACTGTGGCATATTACTATGATGGAACACTATATAGGAATAAAAACTAATGAACTTCAGTTGTACACAGCAACATATTTGAATTTCATGCATGTCGTATGGAGTAAAGTAAGCCAGTTACAATATCATTTCATTTATATAAATTGTAAAGCAAGGTGACAAAACTAAACAATAGCGTATAGATATATGTGCTTAGGTGACAGAATCCTAATATATGTTTTCCTGCAGCCAGAACCCTAATGTTTGGTTATCTACCATTCTTCTAGATATCCTAGGCATAAATCTGTATTAGTTTAAGCCAATGATAGTGTTCTCTATTTCTTTGCCAGTGATTAGTTTGAGGGTGGGTATGCAATTCATTTCTGGGGAACTTCTGAGAAAGTATTCCTTGTCAATAATGAAGAAATGTACTCCTTTTACTCTGGTGTAATGTGGTGGATCTGGATATGATGTTCAGAACAGTGACAGGTATCTTGCGACCATAGGAAAATCTAGTCAAGGATAAATCTGACTCTTTTCCAATACTTGACAGTGTGGATGATCTGCTGCATTAGCCAATTTCAGAATTGTCTGACCTTTGGACTTCTTATGTGCAATAATATATTTTCTTTATTGTTTAAGCCAGTTGAATCTGAGTTGTTTGTTGCTTGTTGCTTGAACCTGAAAACATACTCACTGGTACAGCAAGCATTTACAGTAAAATGTAAAAAAAAAGAAAAACCCTCACAGAATGGGAGAGGATATTTGCAAACCTATGTCTGATAAAGGTTTAGGGTCCAGAATATACAAAGAACTGGCAACTCAATAATAAAAGACAACCTAATTAAAAAAGGAGTAAAGGAGTTGAATAGACATTTCTACAAAGAAGATATAAAAATGGCCCATAAAACATGAAAAGATGATCAACATCATTAAGTAGCAAATTAAATGCAAATTAAAACTACAATGAGATATTGCTATAGCAACTAGGATAATGATAATAACAAAGACAGACAATAGCAGATGTTGGTGAAGATGTGGAGAAATTGGACCTTCATGCACAGCTGGCGGGATTATAAGATGAAGCATGCAGCTGTGGAAAATTGTTTGACAATTACTCAGAAAGTTAAACATAGTTATTTTTAAAAAAGATTGATTTATTTGAGAGAGCGAGCAGGGGGAGGGGCAAAGGGAGAGGGAGACAAGCAGACTGCACACTGAGTGGGGAGCCCGACTCAGGGCTCGATCCTAGGACCCCGAGATCATAACCTGAGCCAAAATCAAGAGTCAGATGCTTAATCGACTGAGCCACGCAGGTGGCCCTAAACATAGTTATTGTATAACACAGCAATTCTATTCCAAGTTATATACTCAAAAGAATTGAAAATATGTCCACAAAAAAACTTGGCTATAAGTGTTCACAGCACATCATTCATAATAGCTCCAGAGTAGAAACAATCCAAATGTCCATTAACTGATGAATGGATGAGTAAAAGGTAATGTATCGATTCAATAGAAAACCATTCATCAATTGAAAGAAATTGAGCACTGAAGCATGCTACATGGATGAATTTTGAAAAACATGCCAAGTGAAAGAAAACAGACTCTAAGGGTCACGTATTGTATGATTATATTAAATATCCAGAATAGGTAAATTGATAGAGACAGGAAGTAGATTAGTGGCTGCCAGGGTCTGAAGGGAGGGGAGGATGGGGAATGACTGTTAATGAACATGGAGTTTCTTTATGGGGTGATGAAATATTCTGGAATTAGATAGTGGTGATGGTTGCACAACTTTATGAATATATAGGAAACCACTGAAATGGTATACTTTAAAAGAGTGAATTTTATCTCATTAAAAATACATAAAAAAACAAGAACAATGAGGGGAATCTTGAATTGCCAGCTATTAAAATGTGCTCTAAGGTAGTGGGTGCATCAGAAGAGATAGGTAAGTCCATAGATAATAATATAAACCCCATTTATAAATCCAATGATTAATATATTTTTATTATATATTATTGGTGGATTTAAAAATTAACTTGGAAAGGTTAGATTGATTATTCAATAATATGTCTGTATAACTGGTCATCTGGATAGTGTTAAGATGGAATCTTAATTCCCATCATACCCAAAGTCATTTCTACTGAGGCCCTTACCAAGATTGGTGATCAGAGTTCTGTGAACCACAGATAATGATGGGGCAGCCTCCTCTTCACCCTTGGCCATTCTAATCATCACTCACTTCCATTGTTTCAATTTCCCAAGTCTCCTGTGTTCTGTGAACATCCTCTCACCATCTTTGGATCAAACAATAGTCCTTAAGTTAGAGTTCAAAATAAGTGAAATCACTGAAGGGGACCACCTTATGAATCTGTCCTTAGCATCAACTCTCCATTCCTGTTAGGGCCAAAGCACTCCTCTGACATTCTTCATTGTGTGGTACGATCTGCACCTGACTAATTTATTTTCAAATTCTTGGAAGACCTTTTATTCTCTCTCATTTATATTTTCATATCTCTGGAATGAAAGATTTCTGTCTTACCTTGAGGAACTATGGACAGCAAAGCAAGGACTCCAAGGATGGAATGCAAGACCCTCATGGTTGAATAACTGGAGAGAATCAGTAGCTGTGATGAAGAGAACTTCTTTGTATATTTAGTACCCAAGAGATGAGTTGCTGTATGATTACTGAACCTTTTAGTAGCAAGAACATTTCTGTGTTCCAATGAGCCTTCATATCAGGAGACAGCATGCAATGGACATGACTATCAGTCATTCAAAGTACATTTGTCAAATGTTGACAGGTTGTAGGCAAAGACAGTAGGATGCACAACACTTACAGAAGAGGGGCAGCCATAGTGAAGGAAGAAGAGAAAGTCTATGAAAAACCATTATCTTATGGCTCCTGGCAGAACTGTAAAGGTTAAGGCATTTCCAGAGTTAAAGTATTCAATTTATTTCCTCAATAACAGGAGGAGAAACACTATTATAACAGCATGTCTATTTATAAATATTTTTTGGAATGTATCTTACCAGACTTAAGCAATGAAATTACATTTAAAACCATATACAGGCTACTGAGAGATTAAAAAAAACTTCTATTTGATTGCCTTCTGTCCAACTACCTGAATAAAACTGACTCATTTTTATATCTAAAGTCTTAGGTAATACAAATTGTTTACACATCACAGTTATATGTAATGTGAGAGGAATCAAAAAGAAAGAGTGGACCTTTGATGCACTTAGGACAGCAAGTAATACAGAAAAATCAATGGCAATGCAACACGAGCATATGGCTGACAAAGTGGCATAAATGACCTCACAGACACGAACGACATGAACATAAGGGAACGCCAGAGTAGTTTGGGTGGCTTAGGGAATGCTTAGAGAAGGCACAGTAAAAATACCAATTTTAGAAACTGCAAAGTACATTCACACTCTTGATCTTATTTGATGTTTCTATTTTTTTAGATGGTCTTACTCCAGCTCCTTTCTGCTGTGGCTTCCTCTGGGTACTGCTTCTATTTCAGGGTTTCAGTGAATGCGACACACAGTTTCCTTATTGGAGAAGGTCTTCCCTGGCTACTGAGACTTTGAAAATGACTTCTTGAGCTGACTCAGGATATGGGATTGGTGGAGGCTCGTGGTGCTATTATCATAGGTCTTGAAAGAGGTAAACCTCAAAAGTCTTAGCCTAAGCCAGTGAGGGTGCTGGAAGCTCTGGGGATGACTTTCCCTAAGTCTGGGTTCATGTTTTTTTCTCCTCTGAAATTGCTGGGACAGTGGTACTTGGGAATAAGCATCTCCCAGCACCCTAAAAAGTCACAGTGGGATTTTAGGGTCATTGGGGTGTGTGCTGGTTATTGAGGACTGCTCCACTTACTTAAATTTGTCTGACCTGGAGTCTTTAACATCTCTGATTATAAATTCAGAAGTTACTGATTTTTCTTATGTGTCTTGGAATTCTTGCCTTCTTGATCATGAGGAAAAACTTTGGAAGTATAGCTTACATTGCAAAGAAATCAAATATATGAGCACAAGTCATCGAGTTCCCTTATGGAATACTGAGGGCAGAATTTTCAGTGATACTTTGACGTTTTCTATAAATACCTATTTCCCATCCAGGTAAATCTGGGGCCAGAAGGTGGGCTTGAAAGGCTGCTCAGGAGGCCCAAGAACATTGTGTGATCCATGGGCTGGCAATCAGGGACATCAAAGGAAGGATGGGAAGAAGGTTCACTGCATTCTGGGGGTGGGTTGGTGTGTACCAGGTGAGTGTTGAAAGGTAGCTTATCACCAAATTGCTTAGGGCCTCAGGAAAAAAAAAAAGGCACATTGACAAATACAGAACACAGAGAAGAAAATCAGATAGCCATCAAGTTATCAATGTACAAATTGTCACAGGAGAAGTAGAAAGGAGTTGATTTACCATGAGATAGTAAATTAGAACTAGGAATTACTGGGTTTTATTGGACATACCTCTCCAGAAAGGCACTAAATACTTAATAAATAATTTATAATCAAGTGTTTATTGTCTACATCCCCTCCCTCTACTAGTAGTATTGAAAGCTTTGCAGTCCTTAATACATCAATTATTTCTTTTCTTCTTTGGCACGAGCCAAGCTACTCATGCTGTTTGACAAGGTCCAAGTATGGGGGACGATCCTGAAAAACAGGAGACTCCACAGCTGGCTCCTGCTACTCTCTTTCATTTTGTTTATGGCAATCTTTATAATTGTGGGAATATTTCTGGGGTTTCATGATAAAGTGACTACTCATCTTAGTTACGCCTATCTAAGCAATCATAATGAAACTAATTCCACGAAGAATTAGTTTCTATAGAACAAAATAACAAGACGGTCACGCTCTGTCTAGCACCTTTCTCTTTGCGTACGGTTTTTTAGTTTTAGCGAAAGTCAATAAGCGGAAATCAATAAAGGTCATGTTAATCATTACAAAGGAAAAATAAAAGAAGGCTATGGCTGTAATCCAGAGAATGATCTAAGATTATCTCGATAAATTGTAAAAAAAACATAATCACATGTTACGAAAGTATGGAAAAACAAAAATATCCTAACATATAAATAAAGTTCCTCTGAGGCTGTCAGGAGGAGATGCTTGCAACCTGATCCTGTGTCTGTGTCTCCTCATTCGCTGACGCCGTCCTTCCCTATGAGAGACCCACCCCGGCTGGAGCTGGATCCCGGCAATTCATTATATCTAAGTCATTAAGTCTAGCCCACACTCAAGGGGACAGTTTGCATGTGAGTGTGAACATAGGGGTAGGGATAATTAAGGATTACCTTAGATGCTACTTACCACAGACAACAAAAGATAAAAATAGCCAATCAAACCTATCAACATACATACAAATGCTACATAAACTATTTTCAAATTGAATTTAACTTCAGAGTAAAAGAATAATATATCATGACCAAGGAGTGGTTGTTTGGGAATGAAAGGATGGGCCAACTTGAGAAAATCAATTATTTTAATATATAAATTTATTCCATTTTTATTACATCTTCTTTATTCATTCATCCATTGATGGACATTTAGGGTCTCATATCTTGGATATTGTGAATAATGTTGCAATAAACATGGGAGTGCATATATTTCTTTGATATCCTGTTCTCATTCCTTTAGAAGTAGAATGGCTGGATCATATTATAGGTGTATTTTTAATTTTTTGAGGAAACTCTATACTGTTTTTCATAGTGACTGAACCAGTTCACGTTCCCACCAATAGGGTACAAGTAGTCCCTTTGCTACACATTCTCAGCAACACGTGTTACTTTTTGTCCTCCTGATGATAGCTACTCTAACAGGTGTGAGGTGATGTGTCGTTGTAGTTTTTATTTGCATTCCCCTGGTGATTAGTGATGTTGGGCATCTTTTCATGTATGTACCTAATGGCCATTTGGATGACTTTAAAAAAAATGCTTAGTTCATCTGCCCATTTTTTGGTTGGATTGTTTGGGTTTTTTTGTTATTGAGTTATATAAGCTCTCTATATATTTTGGATATTAACCCCATACCTGGTATTTGGTTTGCAAATATTTTCTCCCATTTTGTAGGTTGCATTTTCATTTTATTGATAGTTTCTTTTACTGTGCAGAGATTTTAAGTTTGAGGCAGTCCAACTTGATTTTGTTATTGTTGTTTGTGCTTTTGGTGTCATATCCAGATAATCATTGCCAAGACCAATGTTGAGGAGCTTCTCTGTGTTTTTTTTCTAGGAGTTTTATGGTAGCAGGTCTTATAATTAAGTCTTTGATCCATTTTGAGTTAATTTTTGTGAGTGGTGTAAGAGAGGGGTCCAATTTCATATTTCTGCATGTGTTTGTTCAGTTTTCCCAACACCATTTGTCAAAGACACTATCCTTTCCTCTTTGGGTTTTCTTGGCTCTCTTTTATATTAGTTGACCATATCTGCAGGGGTTTATTCCTGGGCTTTCTATTGTGCTGTGTTTCTGCTGTATGTGCCTATTTTTATGCCAATAACCTGCTGTTTTAATTACTAGTTTTGTAGTATAGATTGAAATCAGAAAGTGTGATGCCTCCAGCTTTATTTTGTTTTTCTTTTTTTCATGATTATTTTGGCTATTCAGGGTCTTTCGTGGTTCCATAACATTTTAGGATTGTTTTTTTCTATTTTTATGAAAAATGCCATTCAAATTTTCATAGGGGTTGTATTGAATCTGTAGATGGCTTTGGGTAGTATTGATATTGTAATAATATTAATTATTCTGATCCATGATATAGATGTCTTTTCAGTTGTGTCTCCTTTGATTTCTTTCAACAAAGTCTTGTAGTTTTGTTATACAGATCTCTTACCTCCTTGGTTAAACTTATTCCTAGGTATTTCATTTTGTTTTTGATGTTATTGTAAATTAGTGTTCTCTATTTCCTTTCATCTGTTTCATTATTAGTGTATAGAAATGCAACTGATGTCTGTATGTAGATTTTATATCCTGTAACTTCATTGAATTCTTGATTGGTTCCAACAGTTTTTTTTGGTTGAGTCTTTGGGTTTTTCTATATGTAAAATCATATCATCTGTAAATAATGACAATGTAATTTTTTTTTCTGATTCGGTTGCCTTTTATTTCTTTGTCTTGCCTAATTGCTCTAGTTAGGACTTCCAGTACTACGTTGGATAAGAGTGATGGGAGTGAACATCTTGTCTTGTTCTTGATCTTAGAGGAAAAGCTTTCAGTCTTTCACCATTTAGGATGATGTGAGGTATGGATTTGTCATATATGGCCTTTATTATGTTAAGGTATATTTCTTCTATAAACACTCTAGTATATTCTTTTTCTAGTTCCTTGAGGTGTAAAGTTAAATTGTTTATTTTCGATCTTTCTAATTTCTAAATGTATTTATTTATCACTATATACTTCCTTCTAAGAACTGCAGCATCTCATAGGTTTTGGTATGTTGTGTTTCTCTTTCCTTTGTTTGAAAATATTTTTTGATTTCTCTTTTGGTTTCTTGTTTGACCCATTAGTTGTTTAGGAGCATGTTGTTTAGTTTCCACATAGTTGTAGATTTTACAGCTTTCCTTGTGTTGTCAGTTTCTAGTTTCATACCATTATGG